TATCTATAAGGAAAAGTGGTGTTCTTTTACTTCACAAATTGGAGGAAAACCAAATTTGTTACTGCATTTTCCCTTTTTTTTTTAAATCAAGAGAAAATAAGCATGTTAATTAGAGGAAAAAAACAAAATTGCATTGTGACAAGGAACATTCATGGTACAATGGAAAGACTGAGCCAGGGGCTTTAAAGGCAGAGGACCAGGTTCCATTCCTGATAGCTCATACACTACCTGTGCCACCTCATTCAAGTCATTTAACATCTCTGGGCCTGTGTTTCTTTTTCTGTAATATGAGTTGGCTTGATTATATGACTTCTGAAATCTCTCTCTTCTTTGGATATATGATTCTGTGATCACTCCTGATTTGTTATTTGTTTTTCTGTTGCCTGAAACATAAGCAGCTCCCTGTCCCCACCCCCACGAATGGTTATTGTTCATGATGCATGTAGGTTCCTTTCATCAATTTGGGAACCAAATGAAGGTTAAATATAGTGTTATGTAAAAATCTAGCCTAGTTCTCTACAGATGTTTACTAAGACAAGGCCAAAGCATTTCAAGGTAGAGAATGGCCTACAAATAATTCTGGAAAGCTACATACCCTTGGCTGAATCCTCTGTGAATTAAGAACTAATCTTCTTGGGATATTCACTAATATGTATTTTTCATGTGATTGTAGTTTTCCCATTCTTTATGGGTTTGTGGGGTTCAGAGAAACTTGATTTCCTGTTCTTGGATTGTACCCTGGCATACAAGTTCTTACACAGGAGAACATTACAACAATTTGCTAATTATTTATTGTAGCCTTTTTGAGGAGTTGATAGCACAGTGCCTTTTATTTATTTTTTTTAATCTACAAAGAGGGTTGGCCAAAGAGTATCTGATTTTGCCGAAGTGATTCTACTTTGGTTGTGATGGAATGGATTAATTCCCATATGATCTGCATTTTCACCAGAAGTTTGGGAACATAATTTGTTTTAACTTGTATTTCTTTTGAAGGCGAGTGTTCATTGATCAAACTCCTTTAGTCTATTACCGAATTCTTCCACCAGTAATAATAGTTCTTATGTGTGACTTTAGGGCACATAAAGAGATAGGGAAAACAGGTGCCTAAGTAGGTTTTTTTTTGGGGGGGGGAGAATGCAAGAGTAGGAGATTTGATGTTTCCATGAAGCAGGAGGTAAAAAAAACCCAAAAGAACCCAAGCTTTTTTTTTGAGTGGTCCACAAAATAGCATGCCTAAAGATTTTCTTGCTTTAAGTTTTTCATATTCCAACCCCACCCTACCCTTCCTCCCTTGAAAAAAGTTTTCTGTTTTAGATGCTAGATAGAATGTATAATTTTATATGATTTATATTCGACAGGGAAAGCATATTTCCTAATTTTGAGTGAATCACTCTAGAGGATTTTAAGAGTAGTGATTCTGAACATCAAAAAATTTAGCCTGGACTCTTAGAATTGAACCAGAATAATGACACTTATTAAATAAAATACATTCTTTTAAAAGCAAATTACTTGACTGCCAGATAATATAGCGAGCATTATATGAGTAGTAGATGTAAAAAGTAAAGCCAGCCTGTCAAGGCCCACTTAGAGCTCTGGATAATGAAATCTGCATTATGGATACTACTGTGTTCACTTGGTTAGAGAAGAGCAACTAAAAAGTGGGGAACATACTTAGAAGCAACAAAGTGGCTTTTAGATGTTTATAGTGACTCACATTTACATCATGCTTAAAGGTTTGCAAAATACTTTCCTCACAACAGCCTTGTAAGGTACAGCTACTACAAGTGTTACTGTCTCTGTTTTGCTGATGAGAAAATGGCAGCTTTGAACAATTAAATGACTTGCCCATAATCACACAGCTAATAATTGTCTGAGGTGAAAATTGAAACCATGTCTCTTAAATCTAGGTATGATTCTCTTTTCTACTATGTTGCTATATCTCAGGTGAATAAGATTCTCAAATTCTAAAGATTATTAAAATTACATTACTTCATTTTTTCCACATCTTCCTTCAGTAGATGTTTGTGTATTTTTTTTCTAATTCTTTGTGTAATGAGGGATGTCATTTGATTTCACAACTTCAATCTCTGTCAGCAGTTTAAACCCAATGGCTAAATCAGTAATCATTTCCTTTGGGTGGTCTACACTAATGTACTCTTTCTTGAATTACCATAATTTTTTAGGTCCTGGTCAAATTTGTTAAAAATCATTTAGGAATAGTATGGGTATTGCTGGAGATGATGCCTAGGACACTTTAAAATTTGTCCATTAAGTAGTGAGAGACCTTTTAGAAATATAAATTATTTTCCATCTTGTTCTCCATATCCAAGGAGGACAAAACAAGAGGAAATTAGTCTTAAGATAAATCAGATTCTGATTGACCATAGAACGAGCTAAAGTGTTAACACGAGTTGCTTCAAGAAGAGACTAGGTAACCTCCTTCCTTGTTAAAATTGGAAGATGGGAGCCTGGGCCCTTTCATCTTTTCAAAGTCCTTAACAATTCACATAAAATAGAATCAAAGGATTGTATGGTAATATAATGCAGCCTGGACTGTTTGTGACATTTTTGAGGGCAGACATTGCCTTTTGACTTTCTTTATATGCCCAATGCTTAGGGCCTGGCACATAGAGTTACTTGGAAAGGATTGTGATTTTTTTATTTATGTATTTTCTGTGTTCTATAGTTCCACGAAGTTTGTCTCAATAGATGCTGTTGGATCTTAATAACATGAATTTCTAGTAAATTGGCAGACCTATGAAGAGTTTGTAGTAGAAATAAAATTTTAAAAACATTGACCTCTAAGAAGTTGTGCATGCGTGCGTGTGTGTGTGTGTGTGTGTGTGTGTGTGTGTGTGTGTGTATGTTTTCCAATTACATAGCTCGCTTTAGGGATAAAACATAACAATTCTCCATTTGTGAATAGGGTACAGAATACATTATTAGGACCAGGACATTTTCATTTTTCCATATGTTCTTGATGAATTTTCCTACTTGGTGCCATATCTGAGTGTAATCCTTAATTTTGTTTTGTTTGTTTTAAGTTGTAAAACCTGTAGTTTGGAGGGGAAAGCAAATAGGAAAACATTAGGTGTATGCTGGTAAAGATTTAGCAACTGGCCGTCCAGGGCAGGGGAGAACATAGGCATGATACATTACTCTGCATTAACATTTTCTCTATCACAATCAGCAAAATGCTAAATCAAGCCCTGATTTGTAGCCTTTGCTGATTTCTGAGAAGTAAATGCTCACAATGAAAATTTAACAACCAGATAGTTTGAGTTGGCTCTAGCACACACTTGGAAAACACTTAGGTGTAAGTTAGGTGTAAGTTTGAATTAGATTTTATGAGTGAGTGAGGGATGCAAGTTCTTGGGGGAGGGTACTGATTCAAGGTACTCACTGAAGACTGTGTCCTGTGAGTCCTCTTAGTCTGCCCTGCGCATCAAGGTGGGGGGGCAAGGAGGAAGCTGCAGAAATGTCATGAGTTGAGGGTTGGAGTCTTCTGTTCCCTGCACTGACGGGGACAGTTGGGGTGAGATTTTACAGTTATTTCCATTTATAGAGGGTGGTTCAGGCAATTAATTTGAGGCCCTTGCTCTTTTATTTCTTCTTTCCCTTTAGATGGTTTCACAGCTCTTTAACACCTACTTCAGGAAGGGGAAAGAATTATGAAATTTCAGTTAATCAATTACTGCTGCTATCCCTTAGCAGTGTTTATAGTGGATGGTCATGTGAAGCAGGAAGATGAAACCATTGCTTCAGAGACATTATAGGCCATCTGATTTTTCATTTATGGTTTTTTAAAATCTCTTTTATAAAGATAATTGTAGTACATTTTGTCTCTGTAAGGGAGGATTGAGTACCCAGCTGGTTAGATATATTTAAGGAAAGAAAGGAAAATCACTCTTAAGCAAGCCTGGTAGAGATTTTTTATAAATTTGAGTGGGAACCTGAGAATGCTGCAGTATCCTGGCAAATTAATTAAAGTAAGAGATAAAGAAGTCAGATGTAGTTATTACATAGGATTTTTCAAGATTAAACTGATTGTAGTAGATAAAATGAATTATTTTCTAATAAGCTTTAATATTAATTTTCTAAAGTGGAATGCTTTTGAGACTTTCTTCCCCTTTATGATTAACTTAAAAATAGAAAATAAATTAACATAGCCTGTTGTATGTCTTGTTGCTGTCTGCACCGATAGAGCTGTTGCTCCTGTCCCTGAAATGGAAACTCTATCTCATTATCATTAGCCTGTCAGTATCATCACCAGCTCAAAAAAGCCCCTTTATCTGGTCCTTAATGCTACTAAATGAAAAGCAAGCATGCCTTTTTTCTCTCTATTTGGCCAGTCCTAGCATGTGAGAACAGGGCATGTTGTATGACAGGCATAAGGTCACTTCAGTTTTAGGCTGAGTCTCTGCTGTTTTAAAAAGGTGTAATAAAAATAAACCACCAGTATATAACATATATAGCAACTAACCATTCATGAGAATCTTGCCTGGACTTTCTTGTCATTGTAACTTCCTGTGTTGGGTAAAGGCTGTTCAGCTCATGCCTTTTGCTACCACTCTTAGTCATCCACTTAATTGTCAAAGCTTGAATAGTCTATGAAGATTGGGCAAATTTTTGTTGTTCTTCTTGCCAGTTCAATTATAACAGCATAATGGTAATTTGCCCTCTTTCTCTATGTAGTCTTCTAGCTCTTAGTTCTAGAGGTGTTTAAAATTAGTGTAGCTACTTAATTTTTTTATCAAATGGACCCCTTATCAGGATCAAGAACATCACAAAACAACTCTTTATATTATGGTAACTCAAAACTTGTTCCTTAGGTCATGATTGATATATTGGAAAGGAAAGGTTAAAAAAAAAGAGGCGTTCACTCTTACAGTATACACAATTTTAATAGCAAAACTTTCCTGTACACTGTACTTTATTGTTCCCTTACTCCCCAAGCCCTCCCTTCCCCTGCTCCCTCACCCCAGGTTATGTCCCTCCTCTCCCACCCGTTTCCCCAAAATGGCTCTCAAAGGTGATTTGAACACAATGCATTTGGGCTGCACTTTTGAGTCTCCAGGTTCATTGTTGAAAAAAAAAATGACTATAGCATTCCTTACATGTGAATTTTTATCACTAAGGGAAAAAAGAGTAGTTGAAAAGGGTAGCAGATAGAGCTTTTTAGATGTTTGCATCTTCAATATGAAAGCTCAAACAGTCCTTTTTGTATTTGTTTTGGCCTTATTAGATCATGAATTTGCCTCAGGTTAGGTAGATGTGAATTATTGTTTGTCCAGCTTTCTATGCCTTACCTCTCAAGAAGTTGTTTAGTGAATTAAGATATGAAAACTAGCCCAAAGTAGATTCTCCAGAATGACCTTTAATTGTATTGCTATGTTAGGAAAATGATAATAGTAAGGAGCCTTACACTTTATATAGGTTCAGGGGTGTAGTAAAGCTTTTGTGATTACTATTCTTAGTCTCAGAAAGTAAGCGTTAAAAATTGTGTTCTCAGTAGTTTTAAATTTTAGGTTTAAGACCTCAGTGCTTCAGCAGGGAGGTCTTTTTATTGGAAAGATCAAGGAAAGATTCAAAAAGCCTAAGGCCTACATGGCCTTAGAGTAAGCAGATGGGTTTCCATAATTATTGAAATTGAGAGGTTTAATCAATTTTCTATTCATTAAACTGGCGCAAAAATTAACTTAGACACAGTAGGAAATTATGAATGTTAGTGTAGATTTCTGGCTTAAAAAACAAGTATCGTTGCTTTCAATTGTTGGCAGTGGGTGCTCTCTCTAGCTCAGCTTTATGAATTTATAAATTTACTGGCTTTTTTTCCTTTTCAATAAAGTGATTGAAATCCCATGCAAGCTCAAACTCTCACAAGCTTAAACAATGTATATAAATGATTGTAAACTAGCTCCTGTTATTAGGTGGGTATAACATCCTATCATGAATTTGATTCTGTTTTCAGTGACTATGTAGTAAAAATGATATAAAACTTTTTGTGTGGGAGAAATTAACATAAAAATTTTCATTTGACTTCAGTTAACGAAATACAGAGTTTTGTTGTTTGACAGTAGCCAGTTTGTGAAGAGAGAGAGAGAGAGAGAGAGAGAGCACAGATGAATAACAACCTAATCCTGGTGCTGAAGCATAAAGAGATCAAAATTAAATAGATTCATGCCTTCTGTGGGTCACAGGAAAAGAAAGGCGCCTCATTAGTGAAAAAGGAAAATAGGTATTTGGTTTGGTTATTCACATTCTCTCCATGCACTACAAAAGGCAAAGGAGATCAATAATTTTTATCTTTTTAAGATCCACTTGAAAAGTCTCTCTTGGTGGTCTTTGCAAATCCTATTCCTCAGAGGCCACAGAACCAGTTTTTCCTATTCAGTTCTCAGAATTTTACCTGTGGATAGCTCATTTGCTTTCTGTGTCTTGTGGGATGTCTACGCTGTTTCTTGAGAAAAAATCAGTTTAAACTAACTAATTTGTGATCAAAATTATTACAAATATTCCTGTTATTCATCGCCATACAAGAAACCTTCATTATGCCTAGAGCAACTCTTGTCATGATCAAAAACAACAAAACAACCATATTTGCCCCTTAGGTGTTATTTTATCAGTCAGGTTCTGATCCTGCTTTTTGGGACCAGTGTTTCCTTGTAAAATCAGTTTCTGCCCTTGCACACGCACAGTGTATAGTTTAGGAAGAAATGAGGGTGATGTCTGCCTGCTGCACATCAGTTGAGCAGGATGGAAGCTTAGGAGAGTAAAAAAAAATATGGCTTTACCATATTAATGTAACTTTCCAAAAGGCAATTGTATTGTACCGTAATTTATAATCTTCTTGTTCCTTTAGTGACTTAGAAAAAAATTGTAAGGGAGGGGGAAAAGGAGAGAGGTATACAAGCCTATCTTGCTCCAAAAGACTATAATGGTTAAACATACTACAATTGCATGGGATGGTATAGTCTGACATTCTATTTTCCTGATAGGATAGACCGTCCTTATTGAAGAATATTATGCCTATGGACAATTTAATTGAAGAATAAAAAGGAAAGTTTTGAGGGGGTTAGGGGGAGAGGATCTGGACATCTATGCATAAACCATTTCCCAGGCAGCAAATGCCAGTGGTTTAAAAAAAAAAAAACCCAAACAAACCACACTTTCAAATCAGGTCAGTGATTTGATCCTGCAGTTGCGTGTGATTATAGATACATCATATCTTGTTTACAAGAAAATGTTAAAATGTGAATTTGGAATTGGCCTCTGAAACCCAAATTTCCTACCAATTGTTTTTTTTTTAATCAAAACTGAAGTTAAAACAACAATAGTTAGGTAAGCCTTTTCTCTGTGAAAAGTTTGACACCATTAGCTCCCAGTAATCATTAAATTGTTTAAAACTATATTAACACTCTAAATTATTGGGTTATTCTTTTTAAAAACAATTTAGCTGTGTGTATGGCAACCTAATGTTCAGATACTATTGAATCTAACACACCAGTGTATGTTGGTACATATAACTGTCCATATCCACCTTACTTTTGCCTGTTTTTGTTAACTTTAATTAACCTGGTTTGTTTTGAGTCATTCAAATTCTGTAATGTTTGAATTTTCATTGCCTTGTACCATTGGTACCATGGTGTTACTGTGTGGACACATAGGCATATGTATTTTTCCTGACTGACAGGTTATTTTTAAGTAACACACTTGCCTTTATTTTCAGAATGCTTTGTTGTTAAATTAATATTTTTTTTTGGTTTTCATTCTTGAACATAAAACTCAGTATTTTAAAGAAGTGATTTTTGATAGTCGATTTGTATTCTAACACATCTTGCTAGCCAGTTATTTAAAATGTTCTTTAAAGACTGAAAAACAGACAAAAAGAAGGGTATAGAGTTTAAACCCCTCTCTTGGGACAAGTGGTCATTATGTGAATTAGCCTTCTGGCTAGATTAAGAATGTCATGGGATTATGGCATTGACTCATTTGTGGATTCCTCCTTGTTATACCTCCCTCCCCCTAGTTAACCTTGGTTTTTCATTTACACTTAAATGTAAGATTGAGTATATTAGTGTTGAAATGCCACTTTACCACTCCATTTTAAGTAACTGTCTAAATTTCACAAAAAGATTTGTAAAAGTAAAACCAGAGACCTTAATGATTTAATGTAATTATTTAGTATGGATTTAACTGTAATGAGACCATTTGGTCATCAGTTGAATTCTTTGTTTAAGCATCTGAACCAAGCCCATTCAAATGATATAAAGTGTTCTGAATTTGTAATGTGAGCTCTGGCATATACCCACTAACCTAGGCAATGACTGTGGATAGACTTGGGCAAAAAGGCTTTTAAATGGGCCATATCTCATTAGACGCAGAATTCCACTTACATGTGACTGTTGATTATATATCTGAGTCAATATCAAATTATAATCACATATGAAATCTTTCATTAAGTCTTCCTTTATAGTTAGTGAGCCAGCTGTAATCCATGAGATCAGATAGCCACAGTGGAACAGATTATGATCTGTATTCTTTCATGCTCACTTCTTTTCAGACCGTTTTCAGTAGAAAAAAGTAGCACATTGGAGACTTTAGTATAAATGTTTACACATGATGGTATGATTACATAACATGTAACATCTTACATTATTTTGAAGTGAGTATTTTTAGATTTCCAAATAGGAGTGCAAAGTAATGTAATCATTGCTTCTTTTAACACTTAAAATATGGTTCCATTTAAAAAATAAAAATAAAAAATACTTCACCACTTCAAAAACTATGTCTCCACTTGTTTTGGAAAATTAGGCTTAATGTCACCATTTGTAAAAATTAGTTATGTATTTAGCCCCCTACAATTTAAAATAGGTTACTTATCTGATGTAATTTTTGATGACTTGTAGGTTATTATACTTCACATTCTTTATATGGCAGCTGCTGACACTTGCACTGTCCATAACCATTAATGATGATGAAGGGTCCTTCATGGGTGGGTTCATATTCATTATATGGTCCTTGGTCTGACATATTTGACATATGGAGTCGTGTTTGGGATCGGAGTTGCCTGTGGTTCTGAATCATTGAGCACTGCCTAATTCTTCTTAAAGTAGGAGGGCAGCATTTCCTGGAGATGAACACTATAAAAATAATAAAAAAGAAAGAAAACAATAAAGCCATTGTTCCTGTAATTACTCGCTGAGTGAAGATGGCATTGTCTGGTTCAGGAAAGTGTTCATCAGTAGTAACTGCTATGCCTGCAGTAGTTGGGATTTCTTTGTCTCCCACATGGTAACTTGATGAGCTTATTCTTTTTGTGTATTCAGTGGTTGGATCTTTGTAACTTGTAGCCATGGCAGTGACAGTAGTTGATAAATTCCAGCAAAGCTGAAATCCATAAACTGCATCTAGAATATCCTCTCCCTGGGTGTGGTCTGGGCTGTGGCACAGTATTGAGTGCTCCCACCGACCTTGGAAACCACTCAGCCATGTGGCCAGTGCACAGATTTTGGGGCTGCATTCCCACAGATTGCCAGAGAGGCCAACTGTAGTTAAGGATCTGAGAGAATTTAAGATCTTGGAATCCAGGCTGTGGAGCTTGTTGTTATCCATTAGAAGTACTTTAAGATTAGGCATGGTCTCAAACACTGTAATGTCGATGGCTTTGATTTCATTTCCAGTCAAATCAAGCTTTTCTATGGTGCCCCAGGTCCACTCCATCCCACATGTCAAGTTGCTAATTTTATTCCACTGTAAGAAGAGCGTGTGCAGACTGCTTAGCCGTAGGAAATGAGCAAAATTAATCTTTGTCAGCTGGTTGTGCTCTAGGTGAAGCTCTCTCAGTTTGATTAATCCTGCAAATCCATTGCGTGCCAAACTTCGCAAACGATTTGTGCTCAAATCCAGAAACTCCAGACTACGACAGTCCCAGAAAAGGCGAACAGGGATGGTCCGCAGGGAATTGGAGCGCAAATGTAAGGTTTGCAGCTTCCGAAGGCCATAGAACAATTCTGGATGCAGAGATGATAACTGATTAAAAGACAGGTCCAAATTTTGCAGGTTAAGCAGTTGACTAAAAGTTGTGTTTGGCAAGTAAGATATTTTGTTGGAACTTAGGATTAATTCCTTAAGTTTATAGAGTCCTTGAAAAGAATCTTCTTTAACTGTTGAAATTTGATTATGGTCTAAGTGGAGCCAAGTAAGTTGACTGAAGCTTGCAAATTGATCCCTTTCAAGTTCAGAAATGTGATTGTGCCTCAGTGACAAACCTAGAGAGCCCTTGTCAGTGTTGTTTGGCACTGAGTGAAACCCCTGAGAGTCACAGTAAAAGAGCAGCTTCTCGCAGCGGCATTTTGGTGGACAAGCCATGCCCAAGGCAGGCAGCATTTTTAAAACCACACTCATTGCATATAGCGCTGCCAGCATAGGAGCCCCTAATGGCCACTTGAAATGTAAGCCTGCAGAATATAATTTAAGGAAACAACAAGATAGGATATTTTTTATCAGATCATATGGACCAAAAAAGATAAGCACAACATCATGGTGAAAGCATATAACTTACTGTTCATGCACTGCAGAACATCTAATCCTCATAGTCTAAAACGAAACTTATCCTTTTTAAAAAAATGGCTAAGGTAGCCCCTGTACTCACTCAGCCTTGCTATTTGAAAATAGCAAATCCAAAAATATATTCGAATGGTTTCATTTTTTAAATTTTAACTCCCTGGCTTTTTAAAAAAAGAATGCTCACTGCTTAAGATTTATAAATGCATAAACTTACCCATTCTTTTGAGCACATTGGAGGTTGCATTCAGTCGTAGACTCAAAGCAGTGAGTCTGAAAAAGGCTTGAACATTCAGTCGCCTTTGAATAATTTACTCTTTTTCAGTATCTTAGGATATCAGGGTAAAATTGAATCCACCAGGCTTTTTTTCCCCCTTAGGATATTCCTTTTGAATTCATTGGCTTGATTTTCTGTGACAGCTCTGTAATTCTTGAATCAGTACTGAATATAAGTTTTATTTTTCTCCTTCTGCGTCTGTTCGGCTGTTTAATTGAAGCTTTGGTCTTTCTTTTGCACAGCTGTTAGTTCTCTTAGTCTTAACTTGTTGATGGCAGATGGGTAGCTTATTGCAGCGAGAAGCTCCTGTAGTAGCATGAGTGCATTTACTGAAAAGCTTTTCCGAGAAACGGTACAAGAATGGATTTGCTTATGTGCTGCGACCACACAGAACTGTATATAGGCTGACGTCACATGGTGACGTCTCTTTTGTTTGGGTTTTCCAGAATCTTTACAGTTATAAAGCATTGTGCTGCATATTGTGATCGTGCAAGATCCCTAATAAATTTTTTTATTTTAAAGAAAGAATGGTTGGGGGGTAGGGTGGGATGGTGGTGGGGAATACCCCCAGCAGAAAAATATGTTGTATTCCTTTAGTATAGGAAATAGGAATGAGTCTTATGATAAAGGCAGCATTCATGAAGGCCACATAGCTGTGAGCTGGAATAACAAAGTGAGGATTTTTAATGCTTGCTAAAGCCAGTATTAGATAGCATCCTCTGCATAAAAAGATAGCTTTAATGGGAATGAGCCTACACAATTTGTGTAGTAATATGGAGAAATTCAGACCATTCAAGGTGGTAGCTGCTGTTTTATTCTTCTCAATCTCAATTCTGTTGTCATACTTTAAAATGAAAAGTATAAAAATAATTTGTCTTGATAGATACTGTTAGTAAGTTAAGTAGTCAGAGTCCTTCAAATCTTAAAAATCCTAATCTAAGAATAAAGGATAGCAAAAGCAGTTTGCTAAAAATGAGACATTTAATCACTTTGATACTTGAGATTTGGGAGATAACTTTTCCTTTAGCAAAGCATATTTTTCTGCTTCCCCCTCCATCCTTTCTAACAATAACATGCTGGGCTTTAATGAAAAATACTGCTAAATTTATCCTTTATTTGATGTGGTGGTGGGAGGAAAGGGGTGGGTTGACTCAGTAGTTTTAATACCATAGACCCTCACATTTTTAGAGCGGAACAGAACTGTTTAGGACAAATAAAAGGACTTAACTTAGTTTTATCTTAGTCATTTGTGTTTACCCCAGAATCTTACAAATTATTTAAAATGGTGATCTCAAGGGATGGGGGAGGAGGGGAGGGGGAATATAGCGCTGGAATAATAGGGCATTTGCACATTTAATAGCTCCCACTGGCAGAATTCTACAGATGGAAGAGCTTACAGAACTGTCTTTGTGCTTAATACTGGCTGTTGTTGGAATCTCTAATGAACATAAGGGAGTACCCACATTTAGAGAGAATTTTTTAATGTGGCAGTTTTTCCTTAATGTAAGCCATTTTGGCTTGTCCATTTGTTTCTCTCTATTATTGAATAATGATAATTATACATATTTATATGGCACTTTAATGTTGGGGTTCTTTTTCCATAATTAATGAGGTAGTCATGTATTATCCCCATTTTAGAGATAAGGAGACTGAGGCTGAGAGAGGTAAAGTGACTTGTTTGCTGTAGATGATAGAGCCAAGGCACAAACTCAGGTCTCTTGATTGAGTCCACTTTTTTCTCTCATGAACTGTATCTTTTCATTGGCTAGACCTTAGTTTTTTAAGAAGGCATAAATGCAAATACTATTTCAAGGACAAATAATGTGTTTCTTGCTCCACTTAATCCTCCCTGCTTGCTTCCCCTGTACCTCCGCTGTTTTTTAAAAAAGGATTAACAATGTTTTTTGTCTTGGCCCTGGAAAGGAAATTGTAAGTTTAGGATTTCAAAAACCAAACTATTTATATATGGGACTCTGATTTTATTCAACTGGAGTTAGTGGAAATGAATTTAGGAATCAAGGTACTTGGGTTCTGTCCCAAACAAGCTATATAACACTGGGCAAAGTCATTTTATCTCTTGGGGGATTAGAGCTGGTGATCTGTGTTATTCTGTGACTATAGGCAAACATAGCGATGATGCCTTCTGATGAGTGTTTTTCTAGGTAGTGTTAATACAAAATCCACCACTTTCTTTCTTTTTCTAATCTTATTTTTCTGGTAATTTTTTGTTTTTATGTCACTTTGATTTCTCAGTATATCCCTCCATGCAAAAGCTGTCCCTATAACAAAGATTAAACAATAAAATCAATTCCGTTTAACCAGCTAAAACTTCTCCTACAATGTATGCAGTCTTCTATATCCATAGTCCTGCATATCTAAAAAGATTGGGGAGGGAGATGCATTTTCTCAAGAGCTAAGCTTGGTAGTTATAATTAAACAATCAATGTTCGGTTTCTTTCTCCTTCCCTCTTTTCTTTCTACTTTGTTTTAGGTACTGTATATATTGCTTTCTTCTTTCTGTGTTGTTTTATATAAATCTTGCCGTGCTTCTCTCAGTTATCCATATTTACAATTTCATAATTTATAATTTATAGTTTTTTATGGTATAGTACTATTCTGTGGTACATCTGCATACCAGAATTTGTTTAGCCATTCCCCCAATTGATAGGCATCTACTTTTTTTCTTGTTTTTCCTGCCACAGAAGTATTTTTTGTGAGTGTTTCAATGCGTTTGCTTTTAATGAGACAACAAACATTTGATAAATATTGCTTATTGAAATTGAATCTATGAGTCCTTTCTCTGAACCATATAGAACCTTCTATCCAAAAGTCTAGATAGATTATACTTGGCTTTGCTCTTCATTCTCCAAGAACGGATAATTTTTCTAAAAGTTCCCTTCCTGCTTTAGGAAGCAGTTTTTCCTGTTTCTCTTGTCAGAAGACAGGAGAAACCTGCTTCTTTCTCTACCTTCTGAAGAATGAAGTTCTTAAAGCTAAGGCAAGATTTTATCAGCTATGCTGCTTTTTGGTAGAGTGAGCACTCCAATAGCTGTTCAGATAATGGAAGTCCTCAATTACTACTTTATCATCATGGTGCCAGGATTCTAGAATTTCTTATCTAATTACTCCTATGTAGGCTGTCTCTTTTTTATACTTTTATGACACTTCTACTTCTCTTTCCAATCATCCTCATACAAATTATTGTTTTCATGTTTTCCCTTTCTGATTTTTGGAGTCCCTCCCTCATCATGAGGGAATTCCCTTACCTTAATATATAGTATTTTACCACCCCCTTTTTTCTACATACCTTTCCAGAGCCATGAACTCCATTTTACAAAGCTTTAGTGATACTTGTTAACTTGAATGTTCCTCCTTGTATTAGGCTCTCTTAAGTTCACCCATACTGTGTGTCCTTGTGTTTAGACATCTGAGGTGGGGTTTTTTTGTTTTTGTTATTTGTCTTTTTATTTACTGGGCTTTTGAACTGATAATCTTCCTGGTTTGTACTTGTCATTTGTATGATGGCGAGTTAAATGATGGCTTCACATGTGCACTTACGCTCACGTGTGCAAACGCATATACACATACACACTTTATTGAGAGAAGTTGAAAGAGACTCATGGTGAATTTTCTCCCTGTCTCTTTTCAGTATAAAACGTACTTAGGTTCTCAGGACTGAGAAAACATTTCTTACCAACTCTTATTAATTTGTATTCCATCTTTGGGTAAATTAGTCCATCATTTCCCTATTTTAAGGATTGCACAGAGATCCAAATCCTGTTCTTAGATACTTTCTTACTGGAATGTTTTATTTTTCAGCTTCTCCTTTCCCTTCAGTAAATAGCAGTTATGAAAATATTCTCTGTGCCTCTGAAGATCTTTAGCTTCTTGTGCAGGACTTCATAATCCTGAGCATTGGTTTTAGATTTATCTATCTAGCTATCACTGGCCCTACATGGATCACCAGTTAGGGGTAGCATTTGTCAGGTTTGACAAGTCTTCTGAAGGTACCTGCCACTTCCTGTACATATGCCCTAGGAAGACAGCAGACCTCTCTTTTTCATGTATCTCAGTAATAAGTCACCAACCAACTACTACCACTCATCATTTCCATCCCCTGACCATTACTGGATAACCTTTTTCAGGGTGCTACCTGTGGAGCCATGCCACCTTTCATTGGATCCATCTTCTGAGCAGATCTAGAGACTGCCATCTAAAGCAGTAGTGCTCAGACTTCATTCAGAGTGTCTTTCTTTCTTCCCATCTGTGTCTTTCTTCTACTGTTTGACACTCTGACATCAGTTGGTATTCTCTTCCTTCATATGCTTTTTCTTATTCTCTCTCTCTCTCTCTCTCTCTCTCTCTCTCTCTCTCTCTCTCTCTCTCTCTCTCTCTCTCTCTCTCTCTCTCTCTCTCTCTCTCCCCCCCTCCTCCCTCCCCCCCCCTTGTGAGGCAATTTGGAGTTAAGTGACTTGCCCAGGGTCACACAACTAGTAAGTGTCATGTGTATGGTCAGAGGCCAGATTTGAACTCATGTTCTCCTGACTCTAGGCCGGGTGCTCTATCTACTGTGCCACCTAGCTGCCGCCTTATATTCTCTTAAAAGTATTTCTGCTCCTTCAAGGACCAGGTCATTCTTCCTTATCTCCAGAGAGTCTGGAGTGTAGGAGAGGCGGCTTCAGTTTCTGTACCAGGAAGGAGATCAACTTTGCACTTTGTACGTAGATAGTGGCTAATTGGCAGTGACAAATCACAGTGATAATAACTCTCTGCAAGTCACTGCAAAATTCTCTTGCCTACATAATTGATGGAAACAGAGGGTTATTTTTATTGGGGACAGCCTTCTCCAAGTTGGAGCCATTGAGTTAAAAATGCCAGCTTTGCCACTGAAGTACCTGTGGGACCTTGGGCAAGTCACTTAAACTTCAGATGTTTCAGTTACTTCATCTGTAAAATCAGAAGTTGGATGAAATGGTCAATAAGATCCCTTCTAACTCTAAATCTGTGAACTTTTTTCTGCTTTTTTGTTTGACTGGCAAGTAGCAGATTTCTGATGGGCCCTAGTGCAAACAGATGTTTTCCTCATTTGTACTCTGACAAGGTCTCAAGCAGTAATAAAAGCTATGTTATCAATATTGGACTTCTAGACACAAAAACTTGGATGCGAGTCCTGCCTTAGACACTTAGAAGCTTTCTGGCCATGGGCAAGTCTCTTAACCTCTCTGCACCCTAGTTTCCTCATTTGGAAAACAGGGATAATAATAGCATCCGCTTCACAGGGTTCTTGTAATGGTCAAATGAAATAAATCATATAAGGCACATTGCAGATTGTAAAGTGCTCCTTAAAT